ACGAATTATGAGTTTACAACAACTTATATATCCAAACAACAGATACAACCTTTAATTAACTAAGGACATGAGCCTTACAACTTTTACGGTAGCAGTGGGTACATTTCCAACAGAAGCTGGTTGCCGGCTCATCATAGATCCATTCACTAAAAGTCAAAACAAAACAAATCTTAAGCAAGAATTGATCGCAACAACAACATAATAAACCTACAATTAATCACACCTGACCAATTGTCTAATGCTCAATTTTTATATTTCCAAATGGTGTGTGTCTATCTATATCTGTTGCACTGTCTACAGATTAGTATTATTAAAAGAAACAGGGTGCACAACAAGGCCACAGATATAGAACAGGTATTCTTTTCTGTTATTAAGTTCTGCAATAAAGGCAAAACTTTCCAATTTACAGAAATCCTTAAGTTGTGATTGGGATATGTCTAGGTTTTTCTGATAATTGTTATTTTACTTCTTAGATGCTGAAGAGGAAATAAATCAATAAATACAGCCAACAGCTTCTACAACTTGGCAATATTAAAAGAAGCCTTCTCTAATAATGAAACCTGAAAAGGCAATATTGTGGATCTGAATGAAATTAGACCTTACAAAACTAGGATAAGAAAATTCAAGGTTACAACTGAGAGGTTTAGCATCCAGCATACCATCTGTTAGCTCCCTGCTTTTCTATTTGCTAATGTGCTTAAGAGAGCAGAGTGACGAAATTGACTAAACAAGCACACAAATCAGTCAGTCACATGCGATTGTCAGTATACAGTTAAAAACTGCATTCAATCAGAAGGGATCAACAAATTCTGCATTAAACCACCTGACGGAACAGAAGTTGGAGGTGGCCCTGTAACCGAAGTGACAGAAGCCATGTCCATTTTCACAGGACTCTGATTGGGTGTCAAACTTGGCACTCCAGGGCGACTTAAAGCAGCACGGCCCTCCATAAAGTTCTCCGAAATCAGAACAAGAAACGGGGGGTTTCTAACATTGTCAACAGGTGGATCTGGTGCTCGCGGGTTTCGCTTTCCCTGTATTTCCAGTTAGCAGAGAAATGTTAGTGACTATGTAAAGAAAACATAATTTAGAATAAAGTCTGGTAGAATCTCCTAAGTAAATAGTTTTCCAGATGTTTATTTATATGAATATTCTTCCAAAGCTGCTCTGTACTTAGACATTGCTTCATATATATCAGGACCAAGTTCCCAAAAGGTGCTATGGAACAATCACTATAGTATAAATTTTTTATCAAATGTTCAAGAGAAGAGAGTCATAGATGTTGGAAGACATGGTCAATATATCCAATGTTAGAGAGAAGACACGCAAAAGAGTCACAAGGAAAATAGATAAAGAAATGTTATCATCATTATTCCTTACAGCACTGTAGATTGTTTTTAGCTTTGACAGCTGCTTCGGACAGATGACAGATAAAGAAACAGAACACTGCAATGAAAACAAAGGGTCAGTTCACATCCTAAAATGGAAAGCCAGAACTAGGAGACATGATAAGATAAATACTGCAGAACTACCTGAGCAAATGATTTAGCTACTGTTTCAGCATCAGACAGACGACTCTCTGTCTGTGCTTCAATATTTTCAGTCTGCTCCAAGTTTTGACTTTGTGGTCGATAGACTGGTGTAGGCAACGGATAAGGATTACTAGCAGCAACAAGAATGCAATGTCTTTGTCCATCCACATTTTGTTGAGTTTGGTTTCCATTTGGTGCAATAGGAAACATCTGACCAGTACATCAAATAGTTACAAAGGATAAATGTTGTGATGTGTCATATAACATGTCAGGCCTACATAAACAAAATCTGTCAACTTTAATTGACTAAATAGATGGAAGGACAACATTGACACCAGGTACCAAAACTCAACCAACCTAAAAAGGTTTTGGACCACTGGTACAATGTACCCAAAATTTTTCTATTTCAAGTTGCCATTACCTTCAGCAAAACATTAAACTGGCACATCATGGTTCTACCTCAGGAGAATGTTAGGCAGAATCCACATATGCACTTCTTTCCCTCTTTTCTATTGACATGGAGTCAGCAATGAGAGGTTAAATAAAAGCCTGTATTCAGGCTCCAATGATGTTCATATCTAGGGTTTCACTCAATTGCTCTCCCAAATATTTGATGGCATCTGTGACAATATGCAGAGTCACAGCATCTTTATAACCAAAACATATCTTCAAGCAAACCAGCTTTTAGGTGAAACTTATACCTTAAGAAAAATCAACTAAGTAAATGCCCTTAACTTGTTGGAAGAAGCATCTAATTTAAGGAGATAAATCATAAAGCAATCTAATTAAAGAAGACTTGGACAAGTAATTATCAATTGGAATGCATAAATCAAAGCACAAATGCACTTAAAATCACATAAAAGATTGATACTCCATACCATCAGCGCTTCAGAAAGCCCTTCAGCAATTGCAGCATCATTGAAACCACCACCAGAAAAAGGTATCGCTGACAGCCATTGTAAGAAAATATCAACATCTTTTGTCCACCCACTACGTTGAACTAGGCAAGCTGCACAAGGCACCACATTATTTTCCACAAAAATGAAGTTTTGATGGTAATAACACACTGCAAGTTGAAAAATAGAGCAAAGAACGTACCACAGTATGATCCATGAGTGTTGAATGTGACCAATGCAAGCTCAACATTAGATGTAGAAGTCTTCTGTATTTAGACAAATGACAGAATTAATATATGTGCATGTAAAAGGCAATATCAAGCAAACTAGATACCTTAAACTCACTGTAAAGATTTTTATGCTATCTTTTACTGAAATGTCAAAACAAAAGAAAAGTTATAAAGTTACAAACTAAAAATTGAAACTGAAATGGCTCTCTATATTCACACAAATGCATGCTAATTCCCTCATGTAAAATTTAGGGGCCAGCACTGGGTTGCCTATAAACATTGTCTTACAATCAGTTATTTGTAAATGCAATGGTAAAGAAATGATATTGTCTTTTGTTAATTATCTACAATAAATATTCAAGTAATTATCAGATGCATGCCAAGTACCTAATACAACTAATTTTCATAAAAAAAACAAGTACCTAATACAACTGAAAATGCCTCCAACAACATTGTAACAGTTGATTCTGTATAACAAGAGGATGATCATACATTTACGAAAGTAGCTTATCAGAAAGGAAGAGGGAGGAGAAAAGCTTTTTTACCTGTCCAGTCAACTCGCTACTATTGAAACACCTGTGGAATTACCGCAATCCATCAGACAGGAAAAACATACATGCCCAACATATATTTAAGTACAAAACATACAAATAATAACAGTGGTTAACAGCCATAAATCCGATGCAGGGTTTTGAGACATGCAGTGTGGCCATTCTCTCCAATGAACCTCAGATCCTTAATTTAAGCTGAAGCAAACATTCTCATTTTAACAAACTTTGTAGGATATGACAAGCTTCTCAGAATGTTATTTGTATGGAAACTTCAACTAAATGTGGGATAAATTCATATTTTTTAAACTTTCATATCAATTACAAAAGACAATTTTGTGGGCTTAAAATGCCTTCCTTCCAGAAACAAGATTAAAATCATCTATTTTGGTAATAAAGATTTCAAAATATCTCAATTTTGAAAAATTCAACAGGGAACTGACAGTCTACAACCATAAATACATATTCTACCATATAACATAATGGCCAAGTCGGTCTCTACTGAGGATAATCTTTTCCAACTCACTTTTGAAATTAACAAAATAATCCATACATATGGACCTTACATTAATAGATCAAAATCCCTAGTCTAAGGAGTTTGACGTTACCAATGGCTTTTACAAGTCAATTACTCATTCATCAAGCAGTAAGTGCAAATAGTCAATTCCTCATTCATCAAGTAGTAAGTGCAAATGATCATAAACAATCGAGCTGCTTAGATTCAAGATCACAGAGTCCAAAAAATCTAAAGTACAGCCTCAAGTAATCAATATTGATAGGTTCTTAAGGACCACTCAGAACACTTGGTTTAGGTAAAAGGAAAAGCACAAAAACACAAACTGAATGGGCATAGCTTGGATGAGCTAAACTTGCATTTCTATCAAATAATTAAGTAGTTCACATGAAAACCGTTCTCCTTCACCTCAGAAAGCGTTTCAAGCAACAAAAAGCCAATAAAAGCTACTCTGACGGCAAAATAATCACCATCAATTTTTACTCCTAGAACTATTTGTTGCTCTGGCACTACATTAAAGCATATATTTTCATTCTTAAACTAAAAATTCAATGAAAAGTGGCCATAAACTCACAGAATACTTAAAATAATGACCATTTAGAGGGGAAAAGAAAACAAACGAAGAACTAAGCGCACGAATTAATAAGCAAAACAATCATCCTCAAATTTTGACTAGAGTATTTCACAAACATTGGCATCAAGTTTCACATAGAATGGAAATTCAAAACATCTATTTTCTAACAAAGATTGCAACTTTCTTACCTAGTATTAATCGAATTAAACTATATACACAAATTGAGCCGGAAAAAAAATGTAAATTGAAGAAACAGGGAAAGAAAGGGTGGGACCTGATGATCTTGTCGAGGTAATCAGAGACGACGGTTTGCCAGTAGGGACCCATGGCCGCGGTGCCTTCGACGGCCACGATCAGCTGCTTCTCCGCCATCTGCTGCTTCGCGTTACAATTGTTATTGGAAATGGCAACTCAACATAGCGAGAAAATGCTAACGAGATGGGCAATGAACTAACTAGGAGCGAAAAGGAAAAGAGTTTGAAGCTTGATTTTTGTTCTTTACCCAAAAAACAAGAAGCTCTATTTAATATTTAGGACTCGGAAGTCCTTGCCTTTACCGGAACCTGACTTCTTATTATTTTAGTGTTTTTTTTTTTTTAATAACCAAAGAGTTTTTTAAAATAAAAAAAAAACCCGAAATTAGTTTGTGGAGTCCAACCCAAAAATGGGTCTTGGGTTTCCGCGGGAGCCCAGCGGGAACCATAGGGACGCAGAGGAAGACTCCCGCGTTTACGGCCTCCTTGTTGTAATCTTAGTAGAGAAGGAATCGAAGCCAAGGAGAAAATGCATCGACGACGACCCGGATCAAATGATTGGTTTATGGCCTTTTCCACATTTATATCTCTTCGCTACTTGTAACTAACTAGTACGAAGGTAAGAAACAGAACACCACATTTCATCTGTTCCACTCCACTTGTCTTTTCTCTATCATTCTCGGAAGTTTTTGGTCTTGTTGTTGTGCTGGAATTTGGTTTCACCTGTATTCCCCCCCCCCCCCCCCCCCTTCCTTTTTTCTGGTTAATTTGAAGGTCTACGGAAGAAGACAAGTGTTTTATATTCTTATCTGGCTTTGGGTTTTGTTTTGTGCATTTGGAAAAGACGATGCTGCATTATCTTCAGCCCGCGAAGCTCCAAACCAAGAAGGTAGTGTTTCTCTCTCACTCTCCCTCTGAGTGTTCTTTTTGTGATCCCTTTTGATTGTTCTTCAAATAAAGTTTGGGTTTTGATTGGAAATGGTTGATGGTAGTGATCTTCAATTTAACCCTTTTGATGGGGAAGGAAAGAATGCTTGACAGACAGTTAAACAATTACTAAGTGTACAAAGGAACTAAATCGGATCATGGTGCATTCTGTCTTATACGAAATGAACACTTTCATTTTTGACTACCTCACCTGAAGACATTTGTATGGGATAGTCATAGTATTCAACTTCATTTTGGTAGATTGATCATAAAACTGAAATCAAAATGAGTTTCAGTTGAGGACCAAATGATGTGATTTTACAAAGGTTGCTCGTTTAGCGGAGTAAAAAAGCTTTGTTGTTGTTGTTGTTGTTGTTGTTGTTATTGTTGATTTCACAAATTTACGGGGCACCTACGCTTATTGATTGTGCCAATTTATTTATCTCTTTTCTCAAAGGAGATCTTTTGGTGCTGAAGAAATGTAATTTTTTATGGTGTATGATTCATGGTAGATGATGATTTTCCAATTTGATTACATCTTGGGCTGCTATTCATATGTTTGCAATATTGGCAGCTTGTTTTTGAGGATGTTTTTTCTGCACGTGATTGTTCCACACTTGAACATCTGAAAGAGTTGAGCTCCAGGCGTAGATTAATTGAGGAATCCATTAATCAGAGCAGCTCTATTACTGAGGCTATTGCAAGAGAAATGTCTGGAGGCTTGACTTCTCAATGTCTAAGGGTAATTTGTTAATGGGGGCTAATTTCACATTTTAATTTCTGTATAAACATTTCCTTTTGCACTCCAATATCTCCATTGCTGTAATGCATAAATTATTGAAGGCGGAAACCTGCTTTTGCCTCTCTCGTTATTTTTTTTCACGAGGGCAAGCACATATTAAGTTTGACTAGTTTTATTATCAATCCATTTAGTTTGATTTGCACATATATAATTAAATTTGACTGAGGAGACAGAAGTTTATTCTGGTTGAATTTCGTTTTTTATTATGAATGCCTCAGGACCTTAAGAAACTGGACCAATACCTGCCATGGTTGGAAACGTTGATTTTTCATGTCGATTTGGTCTGCAGCAACCACCATGTTGTTCATTGGATTTCAGAACTGAAGATCCGTTGGAGCAGCGCTCTTAGCTCATCATCTTTTTTTAACCTTAGGGGTCCAAAGCTTTTTCAAATTGATAATTTACATTATGAGCTTGGTATGACCCTTTACCTTTATGCTGCATTGCTTCGGGAGAGGGCTGTAGAAATTCTTCCAACAGGTAGGCTGACATTCTCACGTCAGCTTCAATTATATGAATTTTGTGTTTGTAACGTTGCTATTTTCTGTGCATTGTGCTAGATTTGGTGCAATCTGCCACTCTTTTCAGAGAAGCAGCTGGTATTTTTCAGCATCTTGCTCATGAGGTTTTCCCCTCTTTACAATCTGCACAGTCAGTAGGAAGGCCACCAGAAGCCACTCCATCCATGTCTACTGTTATGAGCCTAATTTGCTTGGCTGAGGCCCAGGTTAGTGTTAAGGCTTTCACATTTCTATATAGTGGGATTTCTATCCCAGGGTCCGGGCTTCTTGGCCTGAAATTCATTGCAAAAATCTTTTAATATGCAAGTGTTTTGGAAGTGTTTATTTTTATCAGCTTGTTTAGTAATTTCATTGTCTCTGATAATTATTCTTTTATAAAAATATAACAGGCTGCAACCATAAGGAGGGCTGAAGAGAAAGGATCTACGGTTAGTCTTTTGACAAAGCTGCACTATGGTATTACAGAGTTACTTGGTGAAGCCACTGCTATTCTATATTCAAATGCCGGAGAGTGCAAAGATATTTCATCGCGCTTCTTGGTATGTATACATTCTGATTATTATAATTTAATAATTAATAATTATATTTATACTTTATGTCTGCTATTCAATTTTAACCATGCAATCGTTTTAATATTTTAGTAATAAATAGTATTATGTTTAATTATTTTTTACATTAACATAAATCTTTAGATAATTTATTCATTCAACAAGTATGAGCTTGGCCTACATATGGTCCTTTTCTTTGCACTCATTCATTGTTGATCTCCATTCTCGAGAAAGTCTACAGTCTTCAACTAATGTGTTGCATCATTTTATTATCACTAATTATAGAGTGAATTGAATGCAAATGCACTATTTCTATTTTCTGAGAGAAACTCTTCTTTGCTGTTGCTTATCCTTGCATTTAGACATTTTGCCCTCTGTGAAGGAGCTGATATGATAGTGTTCTCTGTGAACTGTTCAGGAATTTCTATCAACTTGCAAAGCTCTACACGAGTTAAGAAGTTTGAAATACCTCGCAGAAGAGCTAAAGATAGCTGACCAAGTTGGGGTTGCTGTTGGAGTTCTTCGCGATGCATTAAACAATGTGAAAAAGAAAGTTCCAGGAGAAGAATCATGGAGATCCATATTTAGAAAAGAAATTGATGATGCTGCTGATATGCTACGCAAACTCGAACGTGAGAATGATATTGTCTGGCAGGAGAAGATCCCCTGCGGCGATGAGTTGCCACTGCCACAGGGTAAGAAGATTGTCGATGCTAAACCTTATAATCCCCAAAGATTGGAGAAAGAACTTATTTTCAAGATATAGATGTACATACCTTTTGTACAGTAAACCTTATATTGGTTTCAAGGGAGGAACAGTCACTAGCTTCTTGAGCTTCCTCTCCTTCCTAAGGTGCCAGAAGGGGAGATGCATTATTTTTTAAACCATTACCAGCAAATTCTTTTTCTTGTTTATTTTTGTAATTAAACAGTCCATCTAAACAAGAGATTACGGTTTGTTAAATACCGAAAGGGCCAAGGTTTTGCTGAGTTTTTGAACTGTATTTTTGAAGGCTTTTGTAATATTTGGTAGATTATACTACTATTGTGAGTAGAGACATAAAAACAGAATAGCCATGACAGTAAAATTTCTGTCATAAATATTCATTTAAAATCTGCCATATTTTTCAGTTCCTAACAGCACATCTCAGCTTGACCTCTCTTCTGCTTTTTCATCTTCAACATTGATTTAAGCAGCAAGTCTCTCATTGTAATAGAATTAAGAGTGGTGAAGTTGCATTATGACTGCAAAGCGGAGGCCCCTGAGTTAAGGCTTAAACTCTCCAGTTTGTAATCCTCTTTTTCATTAATTCTTATCAGTTGGTAGCTGATAATTGCTAAGAGTTTGCTTTAATTTCTTCTTTTTCTTTTTCATTTAACCGCGATGTAACTATAAAGGTTACATACATTAGCAAGGACTACATTTTTATTTAACTCTCCATTAAATGGTGCAACTAAATAATCGTCAAATCAAATTAATATAGCTAAAATCTAAATCTATGTATAAGTGTATAATTATTCATTATAATATAAAAAAATAATTTTTTATTTTTATATTTTTACTGTAAATGATCAATACTCAGCTTCTTTTTTTTCCTTACATTACACATCCTAATAATCAAATTTTAATTTAGTAAATTACTTATAAATATAGACAATATTTTTAATTACTTAGAGAAAGAAAATGGTCGCGAGTCTGCCAAGTGGAGGAGCGAAAGCCACTTTTTTGCGCCGTTTTCGGTTGGTTTACGGAGCGCCAAGGCACAACACAGGGTTAACTCCTAGTTCGCGGGAACATTCCCAAGCACAAGCTACCATGGCAGTTCATTGCAACTCCGTTCTGTTCTCTTGCAAAACATGGCGAAACAGGGCTACCAACCCCATATCCGCAATCTTACCGACCCGTCTCTTCTCTGTTCCTCAAACCCCATTTAGCTTCCATTCAGATGGGTTGAAGCTCTCAACATGCCGGTATAAATAAACGTAACTGAAGAAATATGATTGTTTCTGTTTGTTTAAATGTTTGAAAAGAAATATTTTGATTTTTACAGGTGGGATAGGGTGGTTTCTGCCGTTGTTTCTGAGGAAAGTGCGGTTGGGTCCAGCTCTTCTGGCACTGATGAGTACAAGCTCACTTACTTAGAGGTTTAATCTGGGTGTTTTATAAATTCAGTTAATTTAGACCATTTGTTATTGGATTTTGAGATGGTTTTCAAATTTTTGGTTTTTAGGGGAATAGTTGGCTGTGGGATGTAAGTGGGGTGAGAATTTTGGTGGATCCAATTTTGGTGGGTAGCTTGGATTTTGGTATTCCATGGCTTTATGATGCTGCCAAGAAATTTTTGAAGAATTTCAAGGTAATTTATCCATGTAATGTAACTGATCTTCTTAACACAGTTTTGTTCTTTTTAATTGGAATGCAAAACTTTATTGCAGCTTTCTGATCTTCCTCAAGTTGATTGCTTACTGATTACACAAAGCCTTGATGATCACTGCCATTTGAAAACCTTGAAACCGCTCTCAGAAATGTCTCCAGAACTTAGAGTCATTTCAACTCCCAATGCCAAGCCTTTGCTGGATCCTCTTTTCAAAAATGTGAGTTAAGATTTTAAGTTTTATGGTTTTCTGCCTCTTTTGTTTAATGGCTACGGTACATGGTTAATAGCCATTCACATAGGAATATCGGCATATGAAACTTGAATGGTAACTGAAGTAGGTGATACACTTGATCTGGACTAATAGTTCTTGCCTGATGTCAAGGTGATACATTGACAAGTTGCTAAAAGTTGCTTTAGTCTAAATAAATATAACCCATGAAAGAGATCAATATCAATTTGTATTAAAGCATCAGTGGTGTGAACATTTTCTTCTTATTTGCAGTAAAATTTATGTCCAACATTGTTGAACTTTACAAGATGGTGAAAGAATGCTGATGCTGCCAATTTACTTGTAGATAACAACTAAATCTCAACTAATTGCAGTAATCAGAGATAGATTGTCCTCATAGGTCCTGATAGTGGCTGATAATGTGTAGACTACTGCAAGTTTTTCCATCTCAAGTTGAATGCGACTTTCTCTTATGTGTGTCCGTGTGTATGTGTGTGCATTTACGCATATGTGTATGAAGACACATCTGCAGTTGTAAAGTGAAGTGGGGAAAGTTTTTCAGCTCATTCCATGTAATTTAGTTTTCAGAGGTTTTTGTAGGTATTTGCTCCTAGTTTTCCTCTCCACTGCATCTTTGTGATTTTGTTCATGGCATATATCATCATATAGATGCTAGAGTCAAAATGTAATGCAAAACAAAACTTGTCACTTAATTATGCGATTCTGTAGTGGAACACAATTACTCAGACTTTCTTTGGAACTTAACTAGTTTGAACCTCGTGTGCTATCATATGTACAATCCATGCATATGATTTAACATCAATTCGCCAACTCTACCATGTAAAATCCTTAACATTAGAATCTTTCAGGTCACATATCTAGAACCTGGTCAAGACTGTGAAATTGAAGCAGGAAACGGTTCCAAAGTCAGAATTCAAGCTACTGCCGGGCCAGTTCTAGGTCCTCCATGGCAACGACCTGAGAATGGGTAAAGCTTTCCAAGCTTCAACTTGCCAATGTGACTTTAAGTATAATGCCTTGCATCCTCCATTCCTAACCATTGGTACCTTATTTATGTCCCTTCTGGTGCCCTCTGTTATTTTCTTATGATTGAATTCACATCTAAGGTTTTTGCTCCAATGTCTTGGCATGATGTATTTCAGGTATCTCGTCATTTCTCCACAGGGCCAATTGACTCTTTATTATGAACCTCATTGCGTATACAACAAAAATTTTCTCGAGAAAGAGCGGGCTGATATTGTTATTACCCCAGTCATCAAGCAGCTTCTTCCTAATTTTACTTTGGTTTCGGGACAAGAAGAAGCAGTACAACTGGCTAAACTGCTGCGTGCCAAGTACAGTATTTGACCTCATTCCTGGAAGCTAAGTTGAATCAATAACACTTTATCGTGCTTATGCATTGGTCATTCCCTTTCTTCTTTTGTAGGTACATTGTGCCAATGAAGAATGGAGATCTTGATAGCAAAGGGCTTCTCGCTAGCATAATTCGATCTGAAGGAACAGTTGAATCATTCAAGGTCATATTTCTATACCCTTTATGAAAAATAAACGAGCCAAGGCCCCTCTTAAGACAAGAACATATTAGCATTGTAGGAGGAAGAAGTGTCCTCACTGATTTTCCACAACTATTTTGCCCTGAGGAAGTTAATTATGTTCCCAATGATTGAGTATGTGTTTTTCTTTTTCGAAAATGCAGGAGCTCTTGTCAAAGGAACTACCAGATGCACAGGCATTAGAGCCCACCCCTGGTGTACCATTACAAATTCCTGCCCCTTAAAATTTCTCATAAACCTTCATACACTTTGCTAATGGAACTGCATATATCAGATAGTTTATATATGACAGTCGCGTATTTCTGCTACTCTCCCAGTCCCTTTTTCACTATCCATATTTCCTTTTTGAGATGTTCCAAAATGAAGTCCTCTGAATATCTTAAATACATTAAAATTTTTATCTTAATTTTCATGAAAGTGGGAGAAGGACAATACCTTTTCCTTTTTCAAAAAAACAGAAGAAAACTTGGTATCTGGGCCTGGGTAATGGGCTGTTTGTGAAACTCTGGACTAAAAAGGAATGGTCTGGAAAGTATGGCAGTAACCCAAATTGCAAATTCCCTTTGATGGGAAGCTTAATAAACAATGGATGATCATTCTATCCACTCCTCAGAAGAATTCAAACCGTACCATGCCCCCTAAAGAAGGCAACCATGGACTTTGTCCACTATTCAAACAGGCTAGATATCTTCCCTGTGGGGTGTTGCTTTGTGGTGATTCTCCCAGTAACAAACCATATTTAGCAAAATCTCTTCTGACTTTCTCACTGAATCTCGCTGTAATGCTATGTGTTAATTCGTTCTTCTAGCAACTTGTCGTTCAAAATTTAACATAAATTAGCTAGTTGAACTTAGGGTCTTGACTTTCTTGTTCTATAATCAAATTTTGTGGCAAGAACTTAGGACCAGCGCTGTACTAAGAAAATTTGCAGCTGAAATCTAATGTGAAAGTCAACAGTGGGTTTGGTAGCAATCTGTTAAATGGCAACTAAAGAGATATAAAAGTAGTACTCTTTTCGTACTTTTTTTCTTAATCTCCATACAAATCGAACAGAGATAAATATTTAAAAATGAAGAAAATACATATTTAATTAAAGTTTATTCGAATTCAAATACCCAAATTGGCCACTTGGCCAATTTCACTCAAGTCAATGTCAAATTAAACCAACAAATATGGTCTCCAACACATGGTGTATCAGTTGGCAATGACATAGCAAAGCAATATAATCAGTTATTCACACTATTTACGTTCCTCCTCCTTCCCCCTCTCTCTCTCAAATTTTATCGTAGATACAAAATTTAATTAGCGAAAAAATTTGATTAATAGGGTTTTCGAAACTCAGTATATAATAATAAATTAATCGATAAATACCAATTTCGAAGATTTTCATTTTTCTATTCTTGATAATATTTATGAAAAACAGAATACTATATCTTCACGGAATAATTATTTCGGTCTCCAGTTTTTTTTTTTTTTTTGTGTTTGTTTTTATCACTAAAAACGTGATCTTAGCTGTAATCGCACACAAAAAAAGAAGAAAGAAAGCTTATTGGTGCATGACGAGTTGACGTAATATAGTATGAAAGTGTTGACCCAGCTGATGATAAACATGTCATAAATTTTTCGACCTAAGTTCGGTCAGTCGAATATTCTCAACTCGAACCCCAATGTGACACTTTGATCAAACAATAAACCAAGAAACGACTTTTATATATAGTCTATCTTGTTTAATTATTATTTATTATTATTATTATTATTTATGTTCCTATGAGATTGCAAGAGTCATTTGGCCTTTAGATTCATTGAACCGACGCCTTTCCCTAAATTCCTCCTCCCCACGAAAACACAAAACTAAAACATTAAGGAAATCCTACTCCAGCTCCATGTTCCATGGCTCCATGTCTATCTCCATGCCGTCTTCCATTTTAAATTCCTTCCAATTTGGTTTTCTTGCCCACATGCTACTACTCCCCAAATCATCCCCATTTGGATTATCTATAATTATCGATCCTCCTGCGATCATCGTCGCAACAGTAAAGAATCAGATTCGAAATTTTCTTTTTTTAGAAAATCAAAATTTGAGTTTGAATTTATATATAAAAATCGAATATGAATTTCGTTGACATGAAATGAGGATAAACATATTGGTTTGGAAAGACCTACACCGGATACCTAAGGATAATTGATTAGCTAAGTTTGATTGGTTTTGATAATTAAAATGGGAAATTGATAAGGAATCTTGGACAGTAAGATTCTTGGGATCGGAATATATTTCTATTTTGTGTTCCTTACCAAGAAGATAAGTTAAAGAAATAGAGAATATGCTTAAGACAATGAGATGATAACATATCCAAATCGCATTGAAAATGTGAGCATTAAACAAAAGAAAAATATTCTTCCATGAACCAGAATATTCGGAAGTGGACCCCTAGAGAGAACTCCACGAGCAGAAGTACAAATCAATTTTTACTGTGATTATTGTCTCTCCTTCTTCCCTGATCAATAGAACTGAATGGCGTTGGTCGAGAGGGAGGAAAAGTCATGGCAACAAGGCCAAATGGCCTTTGTCCGAATGTGGAATTTGAGTAAATGAATATACTATTCTTTGGAGCCAATGAGCCTCGTTGGTGTTAGATTCTCTTCCCAAGGGGGACACGTTCATAATCAAAGGCAGCAGCAGATCACCGCCATGCAAGAACATCTTTGGCTTGTTGTCGTGGGCCCTGTCGTAAATGCCAGCATTGTTGTACCACCATACATGGAACTTTCATGGATGCCACTTAGTTAATGGAGATGCTGATACCATAACTAAATTGGGTTTCCATCTGTATTTCCTTTGGTTGAAACTTTCTGAGTCTTTCTATGTCATCTATGACGATAAACCATAACAGGGATGACGTTTACAAAATCGTGAATCAGATCTTTAAATACCTTAATTTAATTTGACGAAGTTCTTTTTGGGGATATAAAATTATTAAACAATGAGTTGAAATGGAAGGGTTGAGTTTGATGTTTATGGCACCATTTTCACATTGCATATAAGCTTATTTGAATCTTCTTGTCTTCCCTGTGAATCTGATTATCGATCGAGCATGGTTGACTTACCATTTCAGTAATCAAAAGTTTTGTTGAAAGCTTTTGCTATGCCATACACGGACTTGACCTTCTAATAACTCGACCTCTAAATGAAGCTAAATTAACATTAATATGAAGAAGAACAGTAAACCCTGATGCAATCTTGAGTACATGAAACATGGAACAAGATTGATTATCATTCGAATTTGGAGTAAAGGTGAAATGGGGTTTTTTCAAAAGAGATTTTAATCTCAAATTTAATCTTTTTCTTTAAAAAAACAATAATCGTTAAGTCAAACTTTATGGATTAAAATAGATGCTGCCATTATTGAAACTTTTAGGTTAATCTGGTGCAATTTTCCATCATATATATTACTTTCTGGTAGGAAGGGACAGGGAAGAATCATATGGTCTCAACGTTTTTTAAAAGTCATGGAGGAGGTAAAATGGCTTCTACGCAACCACATAGTTTCTAGGATATGGGCATCTGTCGGACTGACAGAAAAGATTTGTAATGCTATCCAATTCTGATCGCCTATTTTCTTGTATAACAAGATTTCTCACTAAGTCAAGTTTCTTGTGTACTCATGTGTCATTTGTTGACGTAAGAAAGAGTTATTCCGTTTAGAGAATTAATTAATAAGGTTCTGATATATCTTCTTCATAAAGTTACTGTGGTGCCCACTAACATAATGTATTTCAACCACAAATTGACCCTTTCTTTTTCCAAGTTACCAAACACTGTCCCTGAATGTCCAGGTCTGTCTGTAACATTTGGATAAACATCACTTTGGGACAATCTGGAATTCGGATTACTATTGGAAAATCTGATAAATACAGCGTTTTGGGGGCTGAATATCCAGGGACAGAAACCCTTGCATGAAAAGTATTCATTGTATCAACCAATGGGGTATCAGACCATGTGCGAGGAAGTTACTTGATGATTCCAAAACCAAGATTCCAATTTATTCGTTTAACTATTCCAGATTCTGGAAACAGAAGTGAGGTAGAACTACAAGGATGCTTTTATTCAAGGCTAACTGTCACTATCCATGTTTACACTCAACAACAACAGCAGGAGGTTAAGAAGGGGCAAAAGAATAAAGAAAAAAAGAAAAAAAAAACTAACGAGTGCTGTCTCTATATCATATAGAACTTTTCTACTGAGGTTTCCTTACAAAAATTGTACACCATTCTCATGCCATGAGAACTAAAACAAGGGAGAATCTGTAGTGGTATGAGTAGAGGAAGATGTTGATGGTGAATTTGAACGAACTCTCCCTTCACTATGGCTGCTCCTTTCTTCAGATTGCAATCGTGGCTGCCTTTGCACAATCGCTCCTGATGGTTGGGGAAGCTTAGGCAATGGGGCAGCCACCGGGGTGTAGATTCCATTGGTTGGAGTCACACTGGCTGTTTCCCCTGATGCTGTTGTTGCTGCCATCGGAGCATATTCTGGTGGAGGTACCCATATGCCTCCTACCACCACAAATTGGGGTGCTTGTGGGTTGGCATTGTTGTGGACGGTTGGGCTTGGTCTCCTCGTGTGCAATCTATATTTCTGCAACAGATAAAAACACATGAAAATTTAGGCTATGCTATGCTAGGCCTTGATGTTTAATTCTGCAGAAAGAAATTCTAAGTTACGTTTACATTGTAAATCAAAGCTGAACAGGATGTTCAAAGCTGCAGCCTAATATTTACTATTTGGATAAATGAAGAAACATGGCTGCCTAAGATAGGTAGAAAACCATCTTAAAAATTGATATCTCACAGACTCGGACCAAATCTACATCCAAGGAAAGCCGTGTCAATATTGCTAAAGATGGTAGAGAATTCACTAGTCTAATTGCAGTGTTTGCTCAAAAGCAGAAATTTGACAAAGACGAATCTATCCTGATAGATCAAACAATCAAAATCTACCAGAATGTTAAAGAAAGATTACCAAGGAAATTAGAATAAACCAAAAATCACAATAATGATTCAGGATTTTAATGTACTGCAGAAAGTAATTAATGATTCAGGAAGATTAACTAATCGGTACTGCAAACCTGTAAATGGCTTTTAACTTCATCATTTGTAAGTCCATCAACCTTCATCAGCTCCCTGATTTGCTTTGGAGTAGCAACTGCAAACAAATTCCAAATTAAAATCCCGACACCAATAATTTGAAACAAATTCCACTGCAACAAATAAGAAATAATTTGACAAATTAACAACTCACCATGTGAACCACCGAGCTGCTGGAGGGCATGCAAGAAGCGCCTATGCAACTCTGGTGACCAACACCGCCTTTGTTTCTCTGAGATTGCCCTTCCTTTTCTTCTTTTTTACTGTTGGTGTTTCCATTATTGGCCTCTCCTCCTCCTCCTCCTCCTCTACTTCCACTTTCTGTTGTAGAAGTACTTGTAGCTGAGGCATTGGCTTTTCCTACCGATTGGACACTCTTCTCTACAGTTTTCCCTCTGTGGAACGGCTGGAATGCTCCTCCATTTCTCTTCACTTCCACCGCAGTTCCACTTTTACCCGCACCCTACAATTTCAAAAAATAAAAAAACAAATCCCAGAAATTATGAATGAACCATGAGAAAGAAAAAAATGATTACCTCTTTCAAGGGTGGATCTGGGGATTGATTGTTATTCCACAGCTGAACAGATCTAAGCCAATCTGATTTCTTTTTATCAGCAGCAGCAACATTCTTCTCTTTGGTGTTGGTATCGTGGTCTTTGGATTTATGTGATTCTTGTTCATCGTCTTCCTCAGAGCAATCGGAGCTTCTTTTAATTGGAATAAATTCTTCCAAAATAGGTCCATCACTCGATGTCTGCTCCGAACACTCCGATTGGCCTTGCATGTAATCCGTCGTCGTTGAACCCCCCGATATCTCTTTCTTGCATGCCTCAATCGCATACAACACACACAACAACAAAAAAAAAGCTCACAAATTTTAGCACCCAAAAGAACAATAAAGACAAAAAAAACGAAGAGATGAAATAATTTCCAAGACAAACCTTGGGTAACAAGCTCTAAACACAGAGGAAGCTCGCGTTGAAAGACTTGAATTTTACGTCTTTCTTCTTCTAAAGCTTCCACATACTCATGACATCTGCGCATTTTTTTTGCATAATCCATGTTTATCATAGCCTCTTTCTAACCCAGGAAACTTCTTCTCTCTTCACTTCAATCCTTTCTTCTTCTCCTCCTTCTTCTCCTTTTCTCCACACCTAAATTACAGCGACAGTGGAGGATAGTTATATGGGAAAAAGGGTTGGCTTTCAGACCAAATAGCATAGATAGATCCGACGAAGGTGAGAAAGGCAACGATGCTGTGAACACAAAAAAATTATAATAGAACAAAGGGATCTAAACAGAATCAGGAAGAGAATAAACTTGGGTACCAAGAAATATATACATATATAAAGCAAGGATATTTATGGATTAGTAAGAGCCAGAATTAGAGGGGAAATTAATAGAGAAAATGGAAGAGAAAAATATACTTCGAGGTCGGGGCGTCGCGTACCAAGACGAATCTTGGATGCTCTTTTGTTAGAGAGAGAGAGAGAGAGAGTTAGTAATATATAAAGGAAGAAAGAGAGAACAGAGTTTGAATATTCCAATGGGTGATTCGCTTTTCGTCGTTTCTTGGGGGTAAGCTGGCATTGACATCACCCCCCTTCCTCTCCTTATTTTGTTTTCAGATAAGATCAATGACTTTTTATTTTTAGAACTCCAGAACTGTCTTCTTTTTTTCTTTCTTTTTTTGGGACAGTGTTGGCCGTTCCTATGATTGTTTTGTATACTCTTCCACGTTTCTACTAATTGTATCCTCCTACATGTTACATGTTATAATTAAATAAAATATTAATAATTTTAAAAATAAATACAAACACAACACGTATTATGTTCTCGTTTACTTATTAATTTGAAGACTTTTTTTTAATTAATCGGTTTTTTCTTTTCTAAACTCACTCTAACACACTTCCTCTTGCATTTTGTCACAATACTCAACATTTCCAGCACTGTTCTAAATTTAATCTTATTTTTCTCTTTTTTATCTCTTTGTATCTTTGATTTTGACATTTTGTTTACAAGATAAATTGATCGAATCAATGACCTGTAGAAGAATATCCTAAGAATATGACTATGTGAGTGAAAAATTATCTTTTAGTACAAATATCACAATTTTCGAATAAAATATCTTTAAATTGTCTACACTTTTTTAGGAAATTGAAATACTTCTAAATAGGCATCTCAATCAAACCAACGGAACGGTGGACGGTTAAGAAAAATAGGAAGTGGATAATCCATAGGAACGCTCGCAGCCTATTATGTCCTCTTTATCTTTTCCGAGCTTTTAATTTGAAATTGAGAAGGGAATATACCCGCGGAGGGTGAGGAATCACGAGAGGCGTTACGGCAGGGACGGGGATCTTGTGAGCGTGCGCACACGCTTTCCCACGCCGCGTATCCATTACCCTTCCGCCTCTTCCCCACGGTCCTTCTTATTCTGCCCTTTCAACTCTTCCAAGGGCCATTTTATCAAACCATATCTCTTAGTATTGATACATTATAATTAATCTATCACAATTTTTAAATTATATAACATTAGTAAAAATATTACATGAAAATTATAATTATAAACCATAAGTCATAAGTTTTTATATAATTTTTTATTATAATTAAATAATAAAAAATTATACTGAACTAATCGATCTCACGATTCAATGACAGCGGCCAACTGGACTTGGATTAGACCCAGAGGCAAAGGATGGGGGCCTTGGAAGCCCTCGCTTCTCCCCCCCCTTCTCCCCCCCCCAAAAAAAAAAATTAAATATTTATATTATTTTTTGGTTTTATTTTAAAATTTTAAAAAAATATTTTAAAAAACTATTATAATTTTATCTTTTTAAATACTAAATTTTTTATTTCTATCTCTTTAAATTTAAAATTTTGGTTCCATCACTGTATTTAGATCCCATCCATGTCATACCAACTAAGGGATTATGATTAGAGATTTTGCATAGAAAAATCTCAATCATTTTCAACTGTGGAAATTGGGATAAGTATTTCTCAATTTCCCACAATGATATTGACATGTGGGGTGAGAAAATGTAGTAATTTTCAAGTAAAACTAAATAGAGAAGAAAGGGTAACAGATTTTTTTTTTAAAGGAAGAGAAATTCTCAATAAATTACATATAAAATAATTCATTTTTTATTTTTACTTATACGTAATTGATTTAAAGATTATTCTTGTATGTTTAAGAAATTTTCATCTTCTCAATTACACGTTCGAGTGATTATTATATATTGTTTATAAAAATGTCTTGTGCTTTTATCAATCGTCTTAATTAAAGATATTTTACAAAGAAAATTATTTATTAAATAATTCAAAATAATTTTATATAGAGAATACATGCGATTATCATTGAACAGTGGATATACCATTTATCTTGATCTTTATACCAAAACAAAACAAATTAGTGCTTAAATGGCAAGCACAAAAACTAACTCTCGACATGACCAGAGGTCCACTACAAGGAAGCTAATCAGAATATGCTTCACCTAGTCCTTATAATTAAATCACAAAAACACCTTTTTCTTGGGTAGCTAATAGCTAATCTATCAAAAATTTATTTCATTGATTTGGACTCCCACCATTAGTACATCAGACTGATTTAAATTGCAACTTCTTTTGGATTGTTTTGGTTTCATTGGATTCATACTTTTATTAAAGAATAAAAATAATCGTTCGGACGAAGTCTTAACGTTTTTCTTTGGATATATAAAACTATAGATAAGATCGACAATCTGTATCCAGTTTAAGAACCTTACATTGAATTAGAGAGAGATGGTGGATAATCATATTTTATCATGTATAATTGTGCCAACTTGATTAAGAATGATAAAAAAAAACCAGTATATAATTAATACGGATCGATTTACCTAATTTGCAAGCAAGCCATAGATTGACATATTTTATTAATCATATTAGTACATTAATTAACATTATCTTAACAAATCCAACACTTTTAAATCCATTTATTAAGTTCTTAATATTCAAGAATTTTTAAGATAATTGACTGTTTATATTTAAATATGTTAAGATACTTAACATGACTTATTGAATTATAAAAGATATTTTGTATCATATTTTGTGATATATATGCATTATAAAACAAATTAAATTGTGTTAATATTAGGATTTCTTGAAACAATTATTGAACGATATCATGTATAGTTATGTCAATCATTTTGAAAACCAAGAATCATTTCATTCATAAATATGAGAAAGATACAAGAAAATAGTACAATTGTTTTTCAAAAGAAGAAGAAGAAAATAGTACAATTACATTGCATAAAACAAACATGTCCATTATTCAACCCTAAAACTTGTGTTATATTCGAGTATTTGACTCATTAGTTGATGCATTATCCTTCTGCCTAAAGAACAGGGTTCGAATATCTCTTTTCATTAATTATATTAAAAAAAAACCCTAAGTCTTGTGTTCGTACAAAATCATCTGTGAACTCATTTACAACAAATTGAATGCCAAATCTCGATGAAACCATTAAACAAATTATCAAATTTATGTCATAATTAAATTACGTGATCTTCGAAAGTTTCGAGCTTGTGTCAATGGAGTATTTGAGAGATGAAAGGCATCAAATTAGTCAATGGGCCCTTTATACAGTTAAAATCTGTCCAGAATTCAAACCAGTTTCAAATAGGCTTGTGTTGGGCCTTCCGAAGGTTCTCTTTGGGTACAACAAACAGATATGACAAAAGCTTTATTCAGTGGTGGCTAACAAATTAAACATGCAACTTCAATTTTTTTTTTTTCGTTTTCTAATTTTTAACAATGTGGCTTGCACCCTCATTAAAGATATGCATAAAGAAATAAATATAGGGATTATTAATGAATAAGAAATTATAAAAGAGTAAAAAATATAGTATGAATAATCTGAACAAGACCCATGAAAATTTTCATTATATTGTTTGTATTATTTACATATACTGTCATTATTTTGATCTCCCGTTTTTTATTTTCAGACTATTAAGCATAATGTTTAATTAATGAATATGGTTTCATCTTCAAGTAAATTTTTTTCCTTTGTTTGATGTATATAGGCTGTTTGGTTTATGAGCTTCGACTATGTTAGCCTTAAATTTAAAATAACCATAATTTTATGCTTAAATTTCCATATTATATATTTTTTCACAAATTTGTATTGAACTTCAATTTTTTGAGAAAATTGGAATCGATCTGATTCAGCTCCCCTTGAATTGCTATCTGCACATAAGATCATGAGACTATACATATATATATATTTAAATTTCTCAATTGATACATAACTGTTGAAATTTAAAGAGATTTTGAAATAAAGATATTACATTCGAAATTCGGGTAGATATACAATAAAAGGAGTATCTAAGACTCAATATTTAATTAAATATAAAGCTTCTTGAGCAGTGGTCCAAAATTTGTTATGTTTTCTGGAAAGAAATAGCTTGAATTTGCTATATCCATTAACAAATGAAAAGTAACCATGCGTTTTCCCTTATTCCTTTCCTCATTAGGGTTTATAGTCTTGTGTTCTTCCCTGACATCTAGGTCAAAGAGATATTAATCATGGATAGCTAGGAAGTTGAAGGGAAAAGACAAGCAAATTAAAAGTAGACGAGTTATGGTTTTGGGGTGGCAGTGGGGCAGATGGGAAAGTACACTGTGACACAGGAAGAGAGAGGGGGTGGGGCGGCCATGAAAGCCTGAATACCAATACAATCACTCACTGTTACCTTTCCCAAGTTTCCTTTCTCATACAAGACCAAGAATCGGCAATCTTTACTTTATCTTTCCCCTCATTCATGTCACAAATGTACTAATATTACAAAGCAAAAGCCATGCGTGAGCTACAGTTTTTGTTTTGTACTTTCTTGGCTCGTGTCCATTCAAACAAAATTCGGAATCCAATAAGCAAAGTGAAGAAAGACAAGAGACGAGAAGAGAGGGGAGGGAGATCTCTAGTTTAGTGAGCCTTGATAAGAATGGCGTCACATCATATATGTTTTACTGTTGGAATTCTCATCAGAGTTTAGTCCAACATTGAATATTGTAATGAATCACTTCTTCTTATAATTCAATGAGAGAGGCAGAGGAATTAGTGAAGAACATATACATGTACATCATTCAGAGGTTGCATAGATTGCCTCAACCGAAGGGCAAGGAATCAATGGATGAATTAATCTCTGCAATTGGAAGGGATCAGAGAGCAGCCAAGTCTATCTTGTTTTCTCTGTCAGCATTTGCTGCGGTACTTTACTTTCTTTGATGATTTACAAGCAAAGCTAGATGGCACAATTAGTGGTCCTGCAGCCTACTCCTAGAATTGTGTTCTAAACTTCTGGTTCCAGCTTTTCACGTGGAGATAATACACAAAGCTGTTGTTCCAATCACATGACCCTCCTGGCGGTTCCAAATTCTAGCGTAGCATTAACTCTTGGAGAGCATATAAATGCATGCATTATCATGTAGTTGGCTAAGTGCATCAATTGTTATCTCAATGCATGCTTTGAAACAAATGATGATATCAGAAAAGAAAAGAAATGTCAGTTCTCGTTTGGTTACTAGCTATTATATACGAAAATGACTGTTTTCTGATGTTGGTCCTTATTTTTTTGGCTCTCACTCATGTAGCAAATGTTGATTCCACCTTTTGGCTTTTCTGTGAAGAACCTTATCCGAACGAATTTAGAGTTTCTAATCTAGTGAATTCGTTGATGTTTGTTCTTTAAAAGGAATCGACTTTTTATTACTCTCTTGTCTAGCTTTTTAATTATGTATTCTGTATCGTACCATAATAAAATTATACAATTTTAAACATATATTTCAACGAATTAAAATTTAAGATTTTAAATTTAAAATTTTATCGTAAAAGATAAATTATTGTTTATTTATACATATGAATGGGTATCACGTTCTCTTTTGTAAAGAATAATAGGTAATTCTATTTCTTTGTCTAATGAATTAGCAAGTTTAGGCATGGAGCAAACAGATTGGGTTCCTGTAAAGCCACCAGGAACCCAAGGCTAAATCTAGTACGTATCTTAAACCAAACATTTCATGGACTACGGTGACCCAACAGCCAGTAAGAATTTTGCTGAATGGCATAGATTTGATGGGGCTGGTTAATTATTACACCATTAAATTTAAAGGTTTAAGATATGGAGTATGCATGTCTGTGTGTTTACCCCTTTTGCAATCAAAGGAATGGCCCCACAAAACAATTTTCAGTTTGGACCATTCAATGTTGAAAACCAGGGGTTGAATCATGAAAAACAACTGTTTCTATATCTCATTGAATTCGAGTAGGTAAAAGACAGAATCATCAAAATTATCCTCTCACTTTTTTCTCTACAGTGAAGAATCTTCACATTTCTATGCCGTGATAGACATATGCATGGATTGAAAGATTATGAATCTCGCAGAGCTCTCTCTCTCTCTCTCTTGCGGGTTTTTGTCCAAATTGATCGTGAATCATGTTACCCTTTTCTTCTAAAGACATTTATGGATTGCTGCAAGCTATGGAGCTCTTTCCTGCCAGATAAAAATCTTTTGTCTTCACTTGGTATACAGTTTGGTGTCTTCGTCTTTTCATCATTTTGCTTTGCGTATTCAATTACGTATTTAGTTTTATACTATAAAACGAGACATTAAACGAAACACCAAATAAAAGTAAAAGATTTTTGCTCTTATCCCGATATGATAGATTTGGCTAAATCAACATATTTAATATTGTAATTGTAAGGGATAATTTAGAGTAGTTGATGATATGTTACATGGGAGTAGGAAGGACTTTATTTAGTTATTTATTTATTTTGTGTGTTTTTGAAGTTGCGGTTATTGGTTTCCATTGATATACGTATATGTTCATTGATTGCTTTTCTGCAAACTAGTCCTTTCTCTCTAGTCTCAATTAGCTCCACACAGCAGGAACACCTAAGCGCCTTTATCACTATCACTATCTCTTTAAATAACAAAAGTGGGAGAGAGAGGTGCTCACGCCTTCCATTTCTACAGTTAAAATTGCTTCATAATATCTGCTGCATGATGTACATTCATCTCTCATCACCCCGTCTCACTTTTTGGCTGAGAAAGAAGAGAGAAAAGAGTAAATGCGGGCAGGAAGAGGACTCAAAAGAGAAGGCAGAAAGAGGGATGGATTAGGAGCTCGATAATCGAGCGTTCGAGCAAGCTGCAGAGAGAGTGAAAGGAGTGTTAGTGACTGTTGGTACGCTGTTCTATGCATCTTTTCTCCATCCCTCTCTCCTTCTTTGCCGGTTCCTTGTCTCCTCCATTCCCAAACACGCCAAAACCCAATCTATCAATTTCCTCTCCTCCACGTACTTTCTCTCTGTCTCTCTCTCCCTCCTTTATCGATATATACTCTCACTTTCTAAGGCGTTCTTTCATCCATAACGTCAAGTTCTCATAAAATGAACGATTAATGATTTGAGAGCATGTAGTGAAAGTGATTCTAGAAAGTGTTTCTAGCAGCTTACTCGAGCTTTTTTCTTGTTACATATATAATATTATTATTTATATGCTCAATAAGAGAAAAATATATATATATATATATATACCATTCTCTCTTTTTCATGTAATTAGCAATCATCATCATCATGCAATCTTCTTCCTTCACCTACAACAATATATCCTTCAGGGAGAGCGCCTGCTACGAAGCTGATGATGCAGAAGATGAAGATTCCATAATCTTGTCTCTTGGTCCTCCAGGACAAGGTCAAGACATTTCCAGATACCCTTTATCATATCCTGCCTCAAACAAGGCCCCCAACTGTCCAAACCCTACTAGCACTGATCAAAGTGGTGTGACAGTTGCCCTTCATATTGGTCCACCAGCCATTGAAACCAGCTCCAGCAACTCTAATGACATTCGTAGTAATAAACTTGTTGAAGGACAGTACTGGATTCCTTCACCCGCGCAGATCCTCGTTGGTCCTACTCAGTTCTCTTGCGCTGTCTGCAACAAAACCTTCAATCGATACAACAACATGCAGGTTCCAAATTACAGAGAGTACTGATTAATTATTATATGACAAAATCATAAGCATTGATTAGATTATTCTATGACATGAAGGAATATCTTGGTGTTTCCACTTTTTCCTATATTTTTTTTTGTTTATCTTTTTCCCCATGCATGTTTGAGAATGTGTTGTGATATTCTTTGTGCCATTTGTTTCTTCTTGATTTTATACTTAGATGCATATGTGGGGGCATGGTTCGCAGTACCGAAGAGGCCCAGAGTCCTTAAGAGGGACTAAACCAGCTTCCTCTATGCTGAGACTTCCTTGTTACTGCTGTGCTGAGGGTTGCAAGAACAATATAGAGCACCCCAGGTCCAGGCCATTGAAGGATTTCAGAACTTTGCAGACACATTACAAGCGGAAGCACGGGGCAAAGCCGTTTGGGTGCCGGAAATGCGGTAAGCCTTTTGCAGTCAGAGGGGATTGGAGGACTCACGAGAAGAACTGCGGGAAGCTCTGGTTTTGCATTTGTGGGTCTGATTTCAAGCACAAAAGGTCCCTCAAAGACCATGTCCGAGCCTTTGGAGATGGCCACGCTCCACATACAGTGGAATACTGTGAGGTTGAAGAAGAAGGAGAAGAAGAAGAAGATGACGATGATAATGATAATGATGAAGACAATGAAGATGGGAGTCATCGTCCTCTTTTCTTTTCTAATTAATTATAGTGAGTACTTCTAACTTTTTAAGTAATCAAGTTTTGATCGTGACTAATTATGGTTTAAGATTCCTTCAGCATGCTCAGTAAATGTTTCAATCTATAGAAGAGGAAGGATGATGACAACCAATTTATATAGTGCAAACAAAGCTTATTTTCCTATGCATTTAATGTTCAATGTCGTGTTTCAATCTTCTAATCCGAGTATCTTTTAATTTCTCCATGAATCTTTTTTTAGGTAACAATCACCCACCCTAATCATAGTTCTCCATGTAATGAAAATTTTTTATTCATTCATATTAATTTCAATGAGATGACAAGTTATAATTGACTACTAATATATACGACTAACAATATGACATAATTAGAAAATTAATACATTATTTCACTAAACCAAATATATATATATATATTGAATCATGAAAAATAATACATAATTTGATCAAAAACCAGTTATATATACTCCGATGGACTGATACCTTAATGCCTCGTAAACACATACCAATTAGTATTCAATGCCGATCACATTCTACCAAAACTCCTAAAAACATTTAAATCCAAAATTTGGTAAAGCAAACCAACAAAATAACAAACCCTAGAATTGGAACAAGAAAAACCCTACACAAGCTTGAAGTTGAATTTGAAATCTAGGGGTTACAGTTGAGGACTTGTATAAATACTTATAGTATACACACAAGTATACTATAAGAGAGAGAGAGAGAGAGAAGAGCATAGTATTTTATTACTTATGGAAGGTGTTCAAGTAAATTCAGGAGTGCAGATAAGAAAGCAGAGAGACAAGTAGCAGTGGGAGTCACAGATGCTACTGTTGATGGCGTTTGCGAAACAAAAAATGCCATAGAAATCCCGGACTCACTCTCTTTAGTCTCCTCGTCTTTTTTATGGCTTAACTCTGACTCAGTGACACACTCTCTCACATGTAAGAGAGTGAGAGTGAGTCATTGTTTTTATCAGTCTCTCTCAGCTTCGACTACCACTACAAACACTTTGATCGAGCCTCTTTTGTCAGTCTCAGCAGTATCAGACACTGAGAGCGAGATAGGGACCACTGATATATATATATATATATATTCATTTTACTGCTTTTGGGGTTTCACCCAAAGTCCTGCTTTTCTCCTTTTGCCCTTTTCAGGCTTCTGTTCCTTCTTGCCCGTCAGCCCTGGCTAACGTTAACCATGTTATAAATACTTTTCCTAATTAATTATATACACATGCATGGCCATGGCATGCAATGTTTGTTGTTCTTCTTCTTTAAATTAATCCTCCATTTTTTTGTCTTTAGAGTGATAACAAATTTAGATATATGCTGTACATATAGCCAAGCACGCAGGCAGGCAGGCATGCCTATGGTTAATACAGTTACTGATATCATATGTTATTGATATTGCGATTTTCTTCCCTTTCTTTTCAAGTGCTGCAATCCCGATACTGTTAATACTAACATATAATTACTTTTCAGGCAAAAAAAATATTTTTTAAAATATTTATCTTAATTTTCGTGAAAGTTAAAAGAAATAAACATTTAAGATTAATTGGAACAAGAAATAAATAAATATAAATCTCAGTTTCTTAATTGATGATCTCCTCAGACCTCACGAGCATGATATTGATAAGGAAATGTGCAGAAGCAGTAAGAAAGTGTAAGATCCCAGGCGCACAGTAACAGCTTCTATATCCACTAGCTAGTTGCTCTTTTTTTTTTATTGATGCATGGTTTCTCTATTTACCATATGATATACAGTAGAGAAAGATCCATGAAAACTTAATCATTAATTTGCATGGAGTTTAATTTAAAACACTGATTAAGTTGTTGCTCCATAGTTAATTAATTGATCAGATTTTGTCCTGCAAAGTCAAAGAATTTACTATTTAAATCTCTACGAATATATCATAATGAATCTTTATAAATTCTCGATATGAGATTTGAGACGTTAAGTGATTATTAATTTCAATTGTCTTGGTTAATGACCTATATATGTACTTTAAAAACAAAAAACTTTCTATCCTTCAAAAATCAAGCTTTCCAGTTTTAGACAATGACTTCAAAATCAATTAGCTCTTGGCACAATTACATGGTCCTCCACTCTGCTACATATGTAGGCTAAAAGAAGCTTTTTGCGACCAACAAAATAAAGTAGTCTCCACTTTTCTAGCTCCCTCCTGTAATAATCAAACCTAAGGCAGCAGAACCCCAACATGAGCAGATGATCTCTGCACCAACATCGAGTTCTTTTTTTTTTTTCGTTTTTCTTTTCTTCCAGTTGAATTTCCAGTTGTAAAACCTGTAACTAGGCCCAGGACATTTTGGGGGTATCTGCCCGGCTGGTAGCTAAAAGCAAAAGCAGGATACGTCAAAGGATTCGAACTTGGAGTAGGGACTTTATCCTTTTCGTTTTCTACATGGAAATTGTTGAACCAATTTGATGTGGCATCAATCACATGAAGCCCCCAATGCCAGTGAAAATACTTAATATTTACTAGGATTCAGATAGATATTTCCATAACTCACATCATTCAGCTTGAAGAGAGAGCTTTTATTCCTTGTACCAATCTCAAATCATCAGATTCCAGCTGCTAAAAAGACAATTGAAATTACTGGTTTCATTCTTATGTGTTGTTCTTTGAACCAATTTGAACCTGCTTTCGGAATATTAATTTATTAGCAATGTCAGAAGAAGGAAAAAATAAAACTTAAAAAACCATTATTGCTATGGAAATAACTTTAAGAATCTCCTCACCAGTGTCTTCTTTCTGATTGCTTGGTTTGGGTCTAACGTGCAATTCTTGTTTAATACTTCTTCAGCTTGGGTGAGGAGGTCATTTCTGACCTTCTGGTGTCAGGGGTCTGGATTCTGATTTTGGGTTTAGAGTTTATGTTTGTTTTTGTTGAGGTTTGGGTCGTTTGCCTTTACATGAGTGAGGTCCAATTAACATCGAGAAGGTCCAAATGTTATAGCCTGCATCCCTTAGGCTGACTTAGGCAGACCTTGTTGCAATGATCCAGCTACTACCAAAGAATGCCACTTCCAGGATGGTTTCTGTGTTTCTTACATCCGTCAAATCAGACAGCTACTCCCATGATAGAAGTTCATCATTTTATTGCTGAAAGCTTGGACTAATCGTTTTCATGTCGATTGTTTTCATTCATAAATTCATGCCTGATTGACGACATAATGAAATTGCTTTTAAGTGCTTGTAGAGTGCTGGTCATAATTTGATAAGTTTGCATCCTTAGAATCTAATCATACACCGCAAGGAAATCACAGTAAACCTCACAGTAACGAACACTAGACAATAAAGCAATTTTCAGGATGGCTCCAGGGACCTGGACTTTGATTCTATCTTTTGGCCTTTGATTCTATCTTACTTTAATTCGATTTTAATCAAAAATTGCTCCCCCAATCTAAGACTACTTTAGTTCTTGGAAAATTGGACATCCATGGTTATATAGAGGAGGTGCTTCTGGAATTTCTTAGATGAATGCATCTGACTGAAAATGCTCTTGAAGATTAGACAGACAGGTAATCTCTTACAATTGTAAAAGAAGAAAAGAAATTACTCCATACATATAAAGAAAAAGATCATCTACCCGCATATAATAGGAAAAAAGAACTAGCTCAACAACTCAAGGTAGGAATTGGGATCGGGTCAGTTGGTAAAGTTTGGGATAGTTCCATGAGGCTCAGTGGCTTTAGCAGCCGCAGAGGGCTCGACGGCAGGCGATGGTGCCACCGGCTTTCCTAGAATCTCAGCTGGCAAATCAGGTATCCCTTTCAAGTAGAAAGTATAAAACAGCTTGATTGGAAAGACTATCTGCTGCAACTTGACCTGTCCGTACACTCCCTGGAAGATCCCGGAACCACCAGTCACAGCCAAGTAGGAATCCTCGTACGTTAGATATGGTCCCTGGACAGATATATGGCCATATTCACCAAAGTAGAAGCTGTAACTGGCCTCGTATCGGTCACCCTTTTTCTCCGGAACGTGTTGGATTAGCACGCACAGTCCAGCTGTGATGCCTAACCTTTTCTGCAGGTCTCCAGTGTAGAGCTTATTGGTGAAAGGAACCAGGTCACCAAGAGAGTTGACAGGTTTTTGGCTTAGTTTTAGAACTGCAGGGCTGTCCCTGTCTCGCTCGTTGATTTCATAAACGCATAGTTCTTGCACTTTTGCTGAAAGAAAGCATTCAAATTTTGGTTTCAGCACAAATCTTATAGTGAAATTTTGGTCAAAAGTAGAGAATTTTGTTTGAAGTACTTACTGGGTTTTGAAGTGTCTGGTGTGCAGTCCTTTGACTTGTTGAAGAAGAAGAAGGCTGTGGTAGAGAAAGGCTTGGAGCTTCTCGAGGTGAAGGAACTTTTATGGCTTGATGAGATCTTGAGGTCATGGGAGGGAAATATCTGTGAATACGAGAGGCTGGAACCTAAAAGTCTGTGAGGTTGGGAAAGTGAGCTGCGATCAACGAACCTGACAGAAGAGATTGCTTGCAGAGAGCTGGTAGATGCCATTGACTTTGTAGGAAAAGTGGGAGAAGACAGAAGCCAGATCAAACGAGGTTGGTGGGTGGGAGAGGGGAGATGGGCAGGGCCAGGGCAGCTTAGGAAATGAAAATGAATACGGGTTTTTAAATAAACCTCAACAGGGTATTTGTTTATATATAGTAATTACATATTTTATGGATGAATACGTGGGGTTTTAGGATAAATGGACGGTGCAGACTGGCCGCTTTGTGCTGCTTCGTGGGGATGAAATGCATGCTTCTATCTCATTTGATTCAGACCCAAACTTCACCGACTCGTTTATGGAAAAAGACTCTAGTCTCATCGTACCTCCATGATTAGCTTAAAAGTTAAAACAGGAAAGCCCAGGATGGTTCACTGCCATGGCATTTTGTCGATACGTTCCTGGCTGCAGGATAGCCATTATTTTCTTTCTTTTCAATAGGAGAAGCCGTATGGGCCAAAACTACAATACACAGAACAGCTAGGCATGGATTTTCTATGTTTGACGGACTGCTAGATGAATTCCCCTTCTTCTCTGGTGAAAGGGAA